CAATGTAGATGGCAATGCGGTGGAGATGGTTGTGGCAATAAAGAAGATGGTGGCGGCAAACGGGGAGACCATGAAGGCGATAACAAGAGTGATGGCGGAGATGTAGATGACGGAGACAGGCAGGGAGATAACGACGGTGGGGGGATGACGACAACGCAAGCCGACCTTGAGGGTGAAGAGGGTGACAATGATTGAAATGATATCGGCGACAGACATGGAAGCTACGACGAGGGAGACAGGGAGAAATGGGGTGGGAGCAGCAATGGAGGTAGGTGCGATGTCGGGTGCCTATACTTCTCGTCTTTCATGGACCAGCACATGGCCTCTCATATATCGCTCGCTCATCGCAGGTTCCTGTTGCTGGTGCTATTGTCAACCGGCAATCTCCGGTTAGCTGTCAGATGTGGTTGGGGGAATACAGCTCAGTTGTCGGGGAAAGTCCACCTCCAGAGGCTCCGTCCCTTTGGTAACCCTTCCTCTTTCTAAATGTCTATATGGTTGTGCGTAGACGATGCCCTGCACCCCCAAGGGTGGGTGCAACAGCAAACTTCACAAAAAAGGAAGACGGTCACCGACAGGACCTAGAGGGACAATGTTAAACCACCAGTACTTGACCCAGCTATCGGCCGCTGGCCTTCCCCGTTAACGCGCCGACACCTTCGGGGGTCAGCCAAGGGAAGGCCCGGTCGCTGCTTGAAAGCCAGGCCCCGGTACTGTCGGCATGACACAAATAACGTGAAAGAAAACAAAATAAAATTAAATGAAATACGAAAACAAAGAAAACAAAAATGAAATATGAAAAAAAAAGGAACGGGCAAAAATAAAAATTCGCATGGGAGAGAGAGAGAGAGAGAGAGAGAGAGAGAGAGAGAGAGAGAGAGAGAGAGAGAGAGAGAGAGAGAGAGAGAGAGAGATATTTCGGTGTTGACGGGCTCTACCTTCGACTTGGAGTCTCCTGTGAAGGGATTCGTGAGGACACTGAGGAGCATTGGCCTGCTCAGCCGTGCTGCTGCGAAGGAGAGTTTGTTGGAGCAGTCCCTGTTGGGATTGAACTTGAAACACAGGACGATATGGCATCTGCTGGTTAGTACCCAAGATCCCCGAATTGTGATTATTGCCCGCTACTCTCTCTCTCTCTCTCTCTCT